GTAATGATATCTTTAATTCTCTAATTTTGGTGAATATTTTTGTAATTTTTGGTAAAAAGTGATATTTTCGACTTCTTGTTGAAAACCGCAAGGTCAATTGCTTTGATATTGCTTATATAGGTACTACACGTGGACATCTCTCAGATTTGTTCATTTCATAATGATATCTTTAATTCTCTAATTTTGATGAATATTTTTGTCATTTTTGGTAAAAAGTGATATTTTCGACTTCTTGTTGAAAACCGCAAGTCCAATTGCTTTGATATATTATACATATAGGTACTACATGTGGACCTTTCTCAGATTTGTTCATTTTCTAATGATATCTTCTCTTCTTTAATTGCCATGTGCATTGCTAACAGCGGAGCTATCTCAGCCGACAGGCTGCTTGTCTAATGATATCTTCTGTTCTTTAATTGCAATGTGCATTGATAACAGCGGAGCTATCTCAGCCAAGAGGCTCCTTGTTTAATTTTCCTCTGACGTGCTCTATGTATTCCCTGTCTTAGTGCTACCTGTGATCTGTACCATGATTTGAGCACAGGTTTTGATTCATCTATGTAGCATGTGGACCTTTGTTCAATAGAGTTTGTAATCAGTGGAAGAATGAGTTCACTCAAATAGCACTTGCCACTTCATGTGATTAAATTACTACGGTTGTCAGTTTCAGTGACGTATAAATAGCACATTGATGATTTATTCATGAATGATGTGTGAGAGTATTTATTTTTGTAAAAAAAAAAAATGCATGTTTTCAATGTTTTCATCTATGGCTTAGCTACTTAATTTTGAGAACCAGCACTGTTGAATATAGGTGCAACAAAAACAAAATAACATGTCCTTTGTTGCTTATTTATTGTAAGTGAATATTTTACGTCAAGTACATTCATACAAATTTTACAATGCACCAACATTTTTATGTATGCACACAATGTAAGATGTGTGTTAAATGATCATTAATGGAAATATGGTAATTTTATTGTCATCATTACTGTTAAAGGTCAATACAAGCTGTAAAATAAAATCGCAAATTAACATACTAGTAGATGTATCAGTGATGAACCTTGGATAATATGTCTTGTAGCATTTAACTGTATTTTCTATTTTATCATACTTGTCTTATAGGCCCATCTCCAGTAGAACCGAATAAACCCTAAAAATGCATTTGTAGCATATTGAATCCTTAAAATATTAGTATTATCACTTATTTTAACCATGGAAACACCTCTAAATTTAAGTAGCACCACTAATTGAGCAAATAGCATTTTAAAAGCTTATAATTATCCATTAATTTTAGTGTATAGTAGTGTGCTTAAAATCCGACAAAAAATTCACTTTTTTGGCTTACATGTGCCTTTATCAGAGGTGAGATTCTAATAAAACAATTACAATAGTGAGTACTGATATTATTGTTTGCAAATACCTAGAAATGTTTGAGCAAAGTACATTCAAGTATTACACCCTATGGGTATTCTTTTGGTACATATTTATAAACATAATTTCAGCTCTGTTTCACATGAAGAAAATATCCACTCTATTAAATTTCCAGGTTTTTTCCCTTTAAACTAGCCAATGAAGTTTTTTCAGCTTGAGCTGTTTACCCAAACAAAAAAAGAACATTTCTGATGAGAAAAACTGTGTTTGGTTTGCTGCTACATGTATGAAAGTAAAAAAAATCAGGTAATATACATTACCCATTCAACTCTGAGGGTGCAGTCCAACGGACCCATTATGTCACAAATGTTTAGCATAATTGACAGCAGTGATAATGACGAGAATACGTGAATTTCTTCATACAATGAACCAAGAACAAGAAACAACCTATCGATTTCTCATTCTATAATAGAACATTTTGAGTTCAGCCCCCTTCCCCAGTCTTGGACACATCCATTTTCACTTGAAGGTGTATATACAGCTGACAAAAATGTATAATTTTTTGTTAAAATGAAAAAAATTGCGTGCAGTGTGTACGCAATATTTCCATAATCCATAATGTCTAAATGTGTTGTGAAATGATTTGCTTGTGTAGATATTAAACATCAGTTATTTCACTCTGTCTCTACCATATGCTAATTGATGTTATTACTGTTAGTAAAGTAGAAATAATCAACATTTACTGGCAGTGTTTTTCGGAAATATCAGTGTTGCTAGGTGCACTGAGCTGTAGTTGATGACATCATTTCTCTCAAATTGGTATATTTGTATATTTAGTAATAAGATAATACAACACTGAATTGATGCTTTATGGAATTTCATATACAAAATGTACATGTGTCTGTATCTGCTTTATTATCTGCTTGTCAGAGGTGCATGTTTTTATACATTTACTATTGTTTAAGGCAAGTTAGTTGATATTCAGTTGCTGGAATGGCAATATTACTTGTTCTTGACTAAAGGTCTACCCTTAGTGTCAAGCCTACATATTGTTAGATGCTGATGTTTTTTTGTTTTGTTATTTTATTCATAGGAATTATCATTTGGGGACTTCAGTGGACTCAGCGCTGAAGAGTATGATAAACTTTTCGGGGCATTGAGAAAACCACTGTCAAACAACAAAGTTCAGGTGAGTTATTTTGGATCATTGAGAAAACCATCATGTAACAATAGATTTCTGGTGAGTTATTTTGAGGTATTGAGAAAACTACTGTCTAGCTGTAGAGTTCTGGTGAGGTATTTTGAGGTATTGGTTAAATGTACCAACCCATACTCTAGAAGAAATTGAAATATTTATTTTTAACAAATCAGCCTAAAACTGTTCAATTCTTCATTCCAACATTGTTGTACTTATCGATTTATTTTGTTTCCCTTCTTATTGTAGTGAATGACTAACATTTAATTGTATAAAAGACATCTATCATGCATACTAACTTAAATTTAATTTTTCACATCTGTAACTTAACTGTAAAACTTGTCATCACCATATTTCTTCAGCCAAATTTTTCTGCACTTCTTTCCTATATTCTTCAATATTTCTGGAAATGAACTCTAATTTTGCAGCGAACAAACAAAATTTGAGTCAATTTTCAGTTTCTACTAAAAAAAAATGGCTATTTTTGTCCCAATCCACTTTTTGAAGGAAAGTACAAACTATTAACTGGATTATTTTGTGATGAAAAGCGGCAACTGGTTGTGAAAAGGTTAAACAATTATGTTCTAAGAATAACTTGTTACTATAATATCAAATTTATTTTATTTGCCCATGCCCATGCTTACCCATATGGGGAATAAAACTAGTGTTGACCTTTAACATTCAGTATGCTAACTGGTAATTCTCTTTCATTCATTCATTCAACATGATTGATGCGTCCAAGTACCACATTATTCAGATGATTATTGTGCAGTGTAGAATTTGTGTTCAAATTGCTGATTTAAAGCTATGGTACTTTCAACAATAGAACTGTTCGGAGCACATGTTCTGTTCAAATACATTGTATTTATTGGTTTACACTGATATATTAGTATCTCTGACAAGAGTATTCAAAGTTTGTTGTGTACAGGGCATGTATCTTTTTTTATATGGCTAGCATCTCTTTAAAAAAAAAACTATTGTTGATATTGAAATTATCATGATTGGCTCTCAAATGAAATTGTCACACTTGGCCTTTGGTGGCACCATTCAAATTTGGATATTATACCACATTTGCTATATTAGTAGTGTATGTATGTATGTATGTGCACGGTTTCATAAATGACACATATGTGTCTGTGGTCAAATAAGAGGTAATATAATAATCCTGTATACAATAAATGCCACTATTAGTTTGGATGTGCTCTTTTTGGATAGGCACTTGAAATAAAAAAGTAGTGATTCTTTTCTTTGAATAAGCGAGTTTAATCATCCAAAAATCCATTCTTTTCACATGTATCTTTACAAATCACCTGCTGAAAGCCTCCAGGGATATGAAAGACAGGGAGACTACATCAACTGTACTGTTTACTGTAATATTGTCTTTATCCTTTCAGTTCCCGTGGAATGAAGAAGAATATATCCAGTCAGGGATTGAGGCTTTAAGCACAGGTATGTACAGGAGTCAGTCGGGATTGAAACTTCATGCAAATGTGCAATACTAGAACACCAAGACATGACTGTTCAATTAGTTTAGATATGTGTAGTTACTGGGCTCACCTCTCTTATGCTTGACTTAAAGGTCACCTGTCCTTGTATTTTTTGCAGGGCAAGCCATTTGAGAGGAGTGATCTCCCTTCTCTCCTAAATGCCCCCCAAAGCATAATTTTATGGACGGTCAGAATTTTAGTAGGCAAATATCTAGATTGTCCAGGGATTGAGGTTGCAGTGTTCTCACCAGATATGAAACATATACTTACTCTCATGAGCCAAATTGTCTCATTAAAATACAAGCGTCAATTCATGTATTTATGAGAATCATTCATGACAATTCAAACGTAGAATAAAATTCAAACATAATCATCAGAGTACAATCCCTCCACTACAAGGGAACAAAATACTTAATTTCTATCTCTAGTTCTACATGGATGGGTAATTGTCTCATACTTTCTAAACTGATGGAACAATTCTACCCCACATATTTAATTACAACTGAGAACAACTGAGGTTACACTAGTTATATAGTTACTGTTATATTTATACATTATTGTTTAGTAGCTTGACTTCCTCCTAGTGTGTAGATACTTGCATCTATCCACATGTATTATCAAACTCAAACTTTTTTTTTCCCTTTGTTCTAGATGATGAAGGCAGTGTTGCTGACCACACTCAACTTAACCAGTATGTTGTGATCCACTGTGCCAACGCTGTACATAATATTGCACCAGCACAGCTGACTGACAAGACTGTCATCAACACGCAACCAATCTGTGCTAGCACTGAACAAAGCAGTCATTGTAACCCTGCTCATGGAAATGACAAACAAGCCATTGGAAATACTGTAAATAATGTACAAAATGATAAAGAAAACTCTTTTGAGTCTTCAAAAGATGTCTATTCCAGTTTTGACAACGGAGATAATGATAATAACGTGAACTCCTCTGAAACCTCCTTGTATGGTAATAATGGAAATGACAAACCACGCCGTCGGAACAAGAAAAAACGAGATCCAAACTACTATCAAAAGTATTATGAAAATCCTAACAGTCCCAATCATGGGGATCAACATGATGGTGACCAGACATTCAAAGAAAATAAACAAAGATTTGACTATGATCGAAATCAAGAATATTTGCAAGAGAAAACTACAAACTCCACAGCCCCTCGCAATGACATAGTGTTGCCGGAACTTCCTGCAGCTCATCGCAAAGATGACATTTCACAGAAAGCTGCCCCGGCTCCCAAGGATATAGAGTTGCAGGCAGTTGCTGTAGCCCCCGGCAAAGACATTGTGTTACAGGATCTAACTGCAGCTAATCGTAAGGACATTGTGTCGCAGAATGCTGCTCCAGCCGCTCCCAAGGACAATGTGCTGCAGAATGTTTCTAAAAACAATAAAGTGCCTAAACTGGAGAAGGTGACGCAAACGGATGAATTCCTTGTTAGTGTGACCCAAGAACCTGTGTTAACCATTACTGAACCGGTGCTCTCACAATCTGTCCACACACAGCCCATCCCCACTAGAACTAGTACTGAACAAGAGGTTATCTCTGCCAACAAACCAACTGAACATGTTCTGCCAACAGAAATTATTACGCAAGAAACTGCTACAGATGCAAATAATAAGGTGTTAGAGGCAGTGGCACCAGTAGATGTATCATGCCAAGGCATGCCGAAAGATAATGATAAATTGACAGGATGCACAGATAAAATTGAGACAGTTAATATTACAAGCACACATGCAATCACTGACAGCACTATGCACATTGACAAAGGGGAATCAAATACCCACAATGCACTTGGTGCTACCCAGGATGCACCAGTGCACAGTGAAAGTCTTTCTGAGATTCCAAAGGAATCGAGTGATGGGAAATCTGAAGAACCTTTGCCAGTTTCAGTGCAGGAAGAGAATAATGCCAATGACTCTAATAAACCTAAGGTGTCATGGGCTGGTTTGTTTAAAAACACAGCTGTTTCTTCCTCCTCTCCAGTTGCCTATGTTAGTCATGTGAATAGTGATCCTCCCAAACCCCCACCTGTTGCTAAAAAAGCATTAGATGATGTGAGCGAAGAGGAAATGCCAGTAGCCCCGGAAGATGATAAAAGGGCGAATAACTTGGGAGGTAAGTAGGTCTCCAACAAATTGGAGATTATCAACTCGAACATGCATTTTTTTCTGTTCAACACGAGATGAAATGAAGAATTCTAGCAGAATACCATGATCAATGTTTTTAAACCCTCTGAGTGCCAGATATTATTCCCAGCCAAAATTTTGTGTAAATATTTTGACAGGTCATAAAATTGTAAAACTTCATCTTCATTTTGGACCATACAGACTGTTTCTGATGTTGTATTTATTTTTTGCTCAAAGTATTTGTCAACTTTTCATGTGGAGTGAAACAGACATATAAAATAATTTTTTAGATGGTGCCAATAGTTGACAATGGAGCTCAAATGGGTAACTGCTATGTGTGAAGCACAGTATTTGATTCTTTGCAGTATGTCTATATATTTGCTTCTGTTCATTAATATTTCAAGATTTCACTGTAATAGGTTATGTTTTTATGATCAAAATTGATAGTTTTTTTTCCAGTTTTGCTAGTATACAGCGCCCTCTGTTGATGAATTCAATGCATGTTACATTTTATATTTTGTACTATTTGAATAAATGCAAGTTTACCACAAAGTGTTTGTAAAGGAGCACAAAGTGTAACTTAAGTACCAAATTATTAAATATTTTTTACAAATTTTCCAAAAAAGTTTTTTTGGTTTTGGATCAAAATTTTCACCTAAATATTCAATGAATGACCTTACTATTACAAGAAATTATTTCGATAAGAACGAAGTTGACAGTAACTTTGGAAGGGTTGAATAACATGTTGGAATGTAAAATACTTGATGATGCTATCATGCTATAGTGTACAGCAATATGTTCTTGCAATGCTGCATTATGTATTGAGCACATAAAAATAGTGAAAGAAATGGACAGAGGCTGTGTCATTGTTAATGACTTTTTTAGCCTTCGCAGACGAAGTCTGCCGAAGGCTTATAGATTGGGTTCTGTCTGTCCGTCCGTCCGTCCGTCCTTCCTTCCGTCCGTTCAACCGTCTTTTGCCTCCTATAACTTTGATATGCTCTGTCCAATTTTTTTCCAAATTGGTGCAAATGTATATCTCAATGCCATACATATGCACGCCAAGTATTTTTTTGATTCGCCAAAGTTTCACTGTGTTTTTCTGTGATTTTCAACATTTTACTAGTACAAGTGCCGAAATTTGCCAGAAAAATCCGAGTTTTAACGACATCTCGCAAGAGAACTGGCATACCGTATTGCGCATGCGCCAGTCCAACCGCTGAGAAATCGCCGTCGATTTCGTCTGAGGATATTTTATTCC